TTCCTTTTCTTTTTCTTTTTTTTTTTTGATGGAGTTTCACTCAGTTGCCCAGGCTGGAGTGCAATGGTGCTGATCTCTGCTCACTGCAACCTCCGCCTCCTAAGCTCAAGCCTCCTGGGATTATAGGCACATACCACCACACCCAGCTAATGTTCAGAGTATTTTAGTAAAGATGGTGTTTCATGATGTTGGCCAGGCTAATCTGAAACTCCCGAACTCAGGTGATTTGCCCACCTCAGCCTCCAAAAGTGCTGTGATTATAGGCATGAGCCACTGCATTCAGCCAAAATTTATTTTTTTGTGTGTGTCCATCTCTGCAAGGATATTTGAAGTATGTATAGCAGAAAAAGTTGGTTCTGCTTACAAAGAAAGTTTGTTTTACTTAATTCCATCTCATTTAAAATCTTGTTTTAGCTGGGTGCAGTGGCTCAGGTCTGTAATTCCAGCACTTTGGGAGGCCAAGGCAGGTGGATCACAAGGTCAAGAGATCGAGACCATCCTGGTCAACATGGTGAAACCCCGTCTTTACTAAAAATACAAAAAATTAGCTGGGCATGGTGGTGAATTCCTGTAGTTGCAGCTTCTCAGGAGGCTGAGAGAGGAGAATTGCCTGACCCCAGGAGGTGGAGGTTGCAGTGAGCCGAGATCGGACCATTGCACTCCAGCCTGGGTAACAAGAGCGAGACTTTGTCTCAAAAAAAAATCTTGCTTTAATAAATTTTTTTGACACAGGATCTCACTTTGTCACTTAGGCTAGAGTGCAGTTGTGCAATCTCAGCTAACTGCAACCTCCACCTCCCAGGCTAAAATGATCCTCATGCTTTAGCCTCTTGAATAGCTGGGATCACAGGGGTGCACCACCAACCCCAGTGAATTTTTTTTATATTTTTCATAGAGACAAGATTTTGCCATGTTGGCCAGGCTGGTCTCCAACTCCTGGCCTCAAGTAATCTTCCAGCCTTGGCTTCTCAAAGTGTTGGGATTACAGGTGTGAGCCACCAAGCCTGGTCGGAATCTTCTATCTTAAACCATACTGTACATTGTGGACTTAGAAGCAAAGAATTCAGGCATTTTTACTCTCTGATATTGCCATGTATGAGCTGGGAGTAAGACTCTGTAAAATTAAACAAATTGGGACTACAGGGTTCATAAAGAAGAGACACACCATTAATTCTTGGCATGTCATCCTGCCTCAGTGAGACTAGTGATGGGAACTCTCTAGTTTCTCTCTTTATTGTTTTCTTTTTATAGAGAGGGAGGGAAGGAGGCAGAGAGGGAAGGTGGGGAAGTGAAAGGAGAGGAGGTGGAAACTCTCTAGTTTCTAGCTTGGTGCATGGTAATTCCAACAATGGAAACAATCCCTCAAGCAGATGTTGCAGGAGAAATAGGTAGGTATGTGAATCAGTTTCAGACATTAAGAGTTTGCAAATATGAGTGCAGCTATATTACCTATCTCTTCTCAGGAGGCTGAGGGAGGAGAATTGCCTGAACCCAGTAGGCAGAGGTTGCAGTGATCTGAGATCGTGCCATCACACTCCAGCCTGGGTAACAAGAGCGAAACTTTGTCTTGTTAGAGATAGACAGTAATCTTTGGCATTGCCATTCATGGTGGCTCATGCCCAGCACTTTTGGAGGCTGAGGTGGCCACATCACTTGAGGCCAGGAGTTTGAGACTAGCGTGGCCAACATGGTGAAACCCTGTCTCTATCCAAAAATACAACAACTGGCCAGGCACAGTGGCACAAGTCTGTAGCACCAGCTACCGGGAAGGTTGAGGCCGGAGAATCACTGGAATCTGGTTGGTGGAGGTTGCAGTGACCTGAGATCACTGTACTCCAGCATGGGCAATATAATGGAACTCTGTCTCAAAAGAAACAAAACAAAACAAAAAACCTGAAAGTCAACATGATACTGAATGACTAGTTTGGATGAGAAACATCCAAAGACTTTGCTAAAAACTACATAAGTTTTCAGAGTCTTTGATGAACAACAATGTTAAAGAATAACAATGTATTTGGTTAGATGAAGACTATCACTGGCAACCTAATGTAAACATTTTCTGTCCCACTGGGAAAAAAATGGACAAATACCAGTAACCCTTTTAAGAAGTTCAGATGCAAAAGGAGGGGAGAAACAGGTGAAAATTTTGTGGGTTAATTTATTTTTTACTTTTTTTTTTTGTTTTTTGAGAGGGAGTTTTGCTGTTTTCTTCCAGCAAGAGTGCAATAAAATGGCACAATCTCAGGCCGGGCGCGGTGGCTCATGCCTGTAATCCCAGCACTTTGGGAGGCTGAGGCAGGTGGATCACGAGGTCAAGAGCTCGAGACCATAGTGGTCAACATGGTGAAACCCCGTCTCTACTAAAAATACAAAAAAATTAGATGGGCATGGTGGCGCACGCCTGTAATCCCAGCTACCCGGGAGGCTGAGGCAGGAGAATTGCCTGAACCCAGGAGGCAGAGGTTGTGGTGAGCCAAGATTGCACCATTGCACTCCAGCCTGGGTAACAAGAGCGAAACTCCATCTCAAAAAAAACCAAAATGGCACAATCTCAGCTCACTGTAACCTCCACCTCCTGGGTTCAAGTGATTCTACTGCCTCAGCCCTCTCAGTAACTGGGACTACAGGTGATGGCCACCATGCCTGGCTAATTATTTCATATTTTTTAGTAGAGAGAGGGTTTCACTGTGTTGGCCAGGCTGGTCCCAAACTACTGACCTCAAGTGATCTCTCAGCCTCGGCCACCCAAGGTGCTGGGATTACAGGTGAGAGCCTCCATGCCCAGCCCAGTAAATTTTTTAATCTAAAATCTCTCTAAAATTTAAGATTATGGCCAGGCGCAGTGGGTCACACCTGCAATTCCAACACTTTGGGAGGCAGAGAGGGGTGAATCATGAGGTCAGAAGTTCAAGGCCAGCCTGACCAACATGGTGAAAGCCTGTCTCTTCTAAAACACAAAAATTAGCCATGGATGGCGGTGTGCATCTGTAATCCTAGCTACTCAGGAGGCTGAGGCAGGAAAATCACTTGGACCTGGATGGCGGAGGCTGTAGTGAGCTGGGATAGCGCCACTGCACTCCAGCCTTGGTGATGGAAGAAGAGTCTGTCTCAGAAAAACAAGAGGCTTATATTTGTTTATTATTTTTTTTACAGAAATGATCTGTCTCTGTCTCTCAGACTGGAGTGCAGTGGTGCAATTATAGCTTACTGCAGCCTACCATGACTATTTATTAAGCAATCCTCCCACCTCAGCTTCCTGAGTAGCTAGGACTACAGGTGCACAGCACCACACCCAACTAAACTTTTGTAAAGATGAGATCTTGTTCCGTCACCCTGGCTAGTTTCAAACTCCTAGCCTCAAGCAATCTTTGTTTCTCTGTCTCTCAAAGTGCTGGGATTATAGGGGTGAGCCACTGTGCCCAGTCTTAACTTTATTATTATTTCTTTTTTATGTATTTTTGAGACAGAGTTTTGTTCTTGATCCCTAGGCTGCACTATGATGGCAGGATCTTGGCTCACTGCAACCTCTGCCTCCAAGGTTCAAGTGATTCTCCTCCCTCAGCCACCTGAGTAGCTGAGATTACAGGTCATTGCCACCACACTCAACTAATTTTTCTTATTTTTAGAAGAGACTGGGTTTCATCATGTTGGCCAGGCTGCTTTCGAACTGCTGACCTCAGGTGATCCACCCACCTCAGTCTCCTAAAGTGCAGAGATTACAGGGGTGAGCTGCCACACCTTGCCTTAACTTTATTTTTTAATTTATTATTAATTTTTTTAAAGATGGGGTTTCACCATGTTAGTCAGGCTGGTCTTGAACTCCCGACCTCTGGTGATCCACCTGCCTTGACCTCCAAAGTGCTTGGATTACAGGCAGGAGCCACTGTGGCTGGCAAATTTTTGTAGTTTTATTAGAGATCAGTAATTTCTAATCAGATTAATTAATTTAAAAATCAGATTAGAGATCTGTAATTTCTAATCAGTGAAATTAGAAATTTAGCTGTTGTTACCCAGACTGGAGTACAATGGCACGATCTCGGCTCACCACAACCTCCGACTTCTGAGTTCAAGCAATTCTTCTGCCTCAGCCTCCCGATGAGCTGGGACTACAGGCATGCACCACCATGCCCAGCTAATTTTTGTATTTTTAGTAGAGATGGGGTTTTACCTTGTTGACCAGGATGGTCTAGATCTCTTGACCTCATGATCCACCCACCTCCGCCTCTCAATGTGCTGGGATTATAGGCATGAGCCACTATGCCAGGCCAATCTAAAAACTTTCTAAAAAATTAAGATTATGGCCAGGCGCAGTGGGTCACGCCTGTAATCCCAGCAGTTTGGGAGACAGAGTTGGGTGGATCAAGACGTCAGCAGTTCAAGGCCAGCCTGAGCAACATGATGAAAGCCTGTTTCTACCAAAATACAGAAATCAGCCGGGGTTGGTGGTGTGAGTTTGTAATCCCAGCTACTCAGGAGGCTGAGGCAGGAGAATCACTTGAACCCAGGTGACGGAGTTTGCAGTGAGCCGAGATCGTGCCACCGCACTCCAGCCTGGGTGACAGAGCAAGACTTTGTCTCAAAAAATATATAAGCTTATATTGGTTTATTTTTTTTTTACAGAAATGATCTTTCTCTGTCTCTCAGGCTGGAGTGCAATCATAGCTTACTTCAGCCTCCCATATCAAGGTTTTAAACAATCCTCCCACATCAGCTGAGTAGCTAGGAATACAGGTGCACAGCACCATGCCCAGCTAAAGTTTTGTAGAGATGGGACCTTGTTCTGTCACCCTGTCTGTTTTCAAACTCCTACCCTGAAGCAATTTTCCTTTTTCAGTCTCCCAAAGTGCTGGGATTACAGGGTGAGCCACTGTGCTCAGTCTTAACTTTATTATTATTATTATTTTATTTTTGAGACACAGTTTTGTTCTTGTTGCCTAGGCTGCAGTATGGTGGCAGAATCTTGTCTCACAGCAACCTCTGCCTCCAAGGTTCCACTGATTCTCCTCCCTCAGCCTCCTGAATACTTGAGATTACAGGTCCTTGCCACCACGCTCAAGTAATTTTTTTGTATTTTTGGAAGAGACTGGGTTTCATCGTGTTGGCCAGACTGCTTTCGAACTGCTGACATCAGGTGATCCGCCTACCTCAGTCTCCCAAAATGCGGGGATTACAGGAGTAAGCCACCACACCCAGCCTTAACGGTATTTATATTTTAATTAATTTTTTTTTAAGATGGGGATTCACAGTGTTGGTCAGGCTGGCCTTGAACTCAAAACTTCAGGTGATCCGCTTGCCTTGGTCTCCAAATTGCTTGGATTACAGGCATGAGCCAGCATGTTCGGCCAACTGTATTTTTAAAAATCAAACAAATTGGACTGGGTGCTGTGGCTCACGCCAGTAATTCCAGCACTTTGGGAGGCCAAGGTGGGTGAATCACCTGAGGTCAGGAGTTTAAGATGAGCCTGGCCACCATGGTGAAACCCCATCTTATTAAAAAAAGAAATTAGACAGATTAGTGTCTAAAATTGTAAAAACGAGGTGCTGGATAATTGCCCCCCAGCCTGCTTTTTTTTATGAGATAGAGTTTCCCTGTTGTCACCCAGGCTGGAGTGCAGTGGTGCAATCCTCACTCATTTCAACCTCTGCCTCCTTGGTTCAAGCAATTCTCCTGCCTCAGCCTCAAAAGTAGCTGGGATTACAAGTGTCCACCACCATGCCCAGCTAATTTTTTTTTACATTAAATTTAAATTTATTTTTATTTCTTTTTTTTTTTTTTTTTTTTTTTTGAGACGGAGTTTCGCTTTTGTTACCCAGGCTGGAGTGCAATGGCGCGATCTCGGCTCACCGCAACCTCCGCCTCCTGGGTTCAGGCAATTCTCCTGCCTCAGCCTCCCGAGTAGCTGGGATTACAGGCACGCGCCACCATGCCCAGCTAATTTTTTGTATTTTAGTAGAGACGGGGTTTCACCATGTTGACCAGGTTGGTCTCGATCTCTCGACCTCGTGATCCACCCGCCTCGGCCTCCCAAAGTGCTGGGATTACAGGCTTGAGCCACCGCGCCCGGCCTTTTATTTCATTTTTACAAAACAAAAAAAATGTGAAACGCGTCGCAAATTTGAATGTAATCTTTCCTTAGGGGTTATGCTAATCTTTTCTGCATCGTTCCAATTTTGGTGTATGTGCTGCCAAAGTGAACACATGCCCACCTAATTTTTTTTTACTTATTTTATTTTATTTTTTTTTTTTTTACAGAGAACGGGGGTCACTATGTTGGTCAGGCTAGTCTTGAACCTCTGACCTCATGATCCACCCACCTCAGCATTCCAAAGTGCTGGAGTACAGGTGTGAGGCACCATGCCCAACTTAATTTTTTTTTTTTTTTACTTTTTAAAGATGCAGTTTCACCATGTTTGTCAGGCTAGTCTTGAACTCCTGACCTCTGGTGATCCACCTGCCTTGGCATCCAAAGTGCTTGGATTACAGGCATGAGCCACTATGCCTGGCCAATTTTTGTATTTTTATTAGAGACCAGATTTCACCGTATTGGCTGGCTGGTCTTGAACTCCTGTCCTCAGGTGATCTACCAGCCTCTGCCTCATAAAGTGCTGCAAATACAGGCATGAGCCACTGTGCCTTGCCAATCTTCCTTTTTTCCAGAGACAATTTTCTTTTTTCTTTTTTTTGTTTTGTTTCGAGATAAAGTCTTGCTCTTTCACCCAGGCTGGAGAGCAGTGGCACAATGGCTAGATCTTGGTTCACTGCAACCTCCACCTCCCAGATTCAAGCTGTTCTCCTACCTTAGCCTCACTGAACAGATGGGACTACAGGCACACACCACCACACCCAACTTATTTTTTTGTATTTTTAGTAGAGACCGGTTTTTTCATGTTGGCCAGGTTGGTCTCAATCTCCTGACCACAGGTGATCTGCTGGCCTTCACCTCCCAAAGTGCTGGAATTACAGGTGAGAACCACTGCAAATAGCTAACAATTTACTTTTGCTTTGTAGTGGAAGTTAATATAGATTTTACCTTGATTCAATCAGGTGTTGAGTTTATTCAAGATTAATTTCAAAATTTTAGGCAGGACTCAGTGACTAACACCTGTGATCCCAGTATGTTGGGAGGCCAAGGTGAATGGATCACTTGAGCCCAGGAGTTTGAGACCAGTCTCAGCAACATAGCAAAACCCTGTCTCTACTAAAAGTACAAAAATTAGCTGGGTGGTGGCTTATGCCTGTAATTCCAGCTATCTGGGAGACTGAGGCATGAGAATCACTTGAACTCAGAAAGTGCATGCTGCAGTCAGCCGAGATTGCACCACAGCACTCCAGCCTTGGTTACAAAGCGAGACAAGACTCCATCTCAAAACAACAAAACAGCTGGATGTGGTGGCTCACACTTGTAATCCAGCACTTTGGGAAGCCAAGGCCAGCAGATCATCTGAAGTCAGGTGTTTGAGACCAGCCTGGCCAAAGTGGTGAAACCTCATTTCTACCAAAAATACAAAAATTGGCCAGACGTGGTGACATGCACCTATAGTCCCAGCTACTCAGGAGGTTGATGCAGGAGAATTGCTTGAACCTGGGAGGCAGAAGTTTCAGTGAGCCGATATTGCATCACTGCACTCCAACCTGGGCAACAGAGGCAGACTGTGTCTCAAAAAAATAAACAAATATCACTGGGCACAGTGGCTCACGCCTGTAATCCCAGCACTTTGGGGGGCCAAGATGGGTAGATCACGAGGTCAGGAGTTCAAGACCAGCATGGCCAACATGGTGAAACCCCATCTCTTAAAAAAAATAGCTTATACATATTTGTTCATTAATTCTGATAACTGTACCACACTAATATCTTACTAACAGGGGAAACGGGATGTGTAGTATATGGGAACTCTGTATTCTCAATTTTTTTCTTTTTTTTTAGACAGAATCTTGCTCTGTTATTCAGGCTGGAATGTGGTGGTGCAATCTCAGCTTACTGCATCCTCCGCCTCCTGAGTTCAAGTGATTCTCCTGCCTCAGCCCTCTCAGTAACTGGGACTACAGGTTACGGCCACTGTGCCTGGCTGATTATTTTGTAGGTTTAAGTAGAGAGGGGGTTTCACTGTGTTGGCGAGGCTGGTCTCAAACTCCTGACCTCAAGTGATCTGCCTGCCTCGGCCTCCCAAAGTGCTAGGATTATAGGTGAGAGCCTTTATGCTCAGCCTTGTAAATTTTTTAATCTAAAAGCCTTCTGAAAATTTAAGATTACAGCCAGGCCCAGTGGGTCACACCTGTAATTCCAACACTTTGGGAGGCAGAGACAGGTGGATCATGAGGCCAGAAGTTCAAGGCCATCCTGACCAACATGGTGAAAGCCTGTCTCTACTAAAACACAAAAATTAGCTGGGGATGGTGGTGTGCATCTGTAATCCCAGCTACTCAGGAGGGTGAGGCAGGAGAATCACTTGGACCTGGATGGCGGAGGTTGCAGTGAGCTGGGATAGTGCCACTGCACTCCAGCCTTGGTGATGAAGGAAGAGTCTGTCTCAAAAGAAAGAAGCTTATATTTGTTTTTTTTCTTTTTTTACAGAAATGATCTGGTTCTGTCTCTCAGGCTGGAGTGCAGTGGTACAATCGTAGCTTACTGGAGCCTACCACGACTAGGTATTAAGCAATCCTCCCACCTCAGCTTCCTGAGTAGCTAGGACTACAGGTGCACAGCACCACGCCCAGCTAAATTTTTGTCAAGTTGAGATCTTGTTCTGTCACCCTGGCTGGTTTCAAACTCCTAGCCTCAAGCAATCTCTCTTTCTCAGTCTCCCAATGTGCTGGGACTACAAGGGTGAGCCACTGTGCCCAGTCTTAACTTTATTACAATTTCATTTTTTATTAATTTTGGAGACAGAGTTTTGTTCTTGTTGCCTAGGCTGCAGTACAGTGGCAGGATCTTGGCTCACTGGAACCTTTGCCTCCCAGGTTCCAGTGATTCTCCTCTCTCAGCCTCTTGAGTAGCTGAGATTACAGGTCCTTGCCACCACGCTTAACAAATTTTTCTTATTTTTAGAAGAGACTGGGTTTCATCTTGTTGTCCAGGCTGTTTTTGAACTGCTGACCTCAGGTGATCCACCCAACTCAGTCCCCCAATGTGCAGGGATTAAAGCCGCCACACCTGGCCTTAACTTTATTTATTTATTTATTTATTTAAAAAACGGGGTTTCATCATGTATGTCAGGCCGGTCTTGAACTCACAACCTCAGGTGATCTGCCTGCCTTGGTGTCCAAAGTGCTTGGATTACAGGCTTAAGCCACCACGCCCATGCAACTTTATTTTTAAAAATCAGAGAGGATGATGTTTTCCAGATTCATCCATGTCCCTACAAACGACACAAACTCATCATTTCTGATTGCTGCATAATATTCCATGGTGTATATGTGCCACATTTTTCCAATCCAGTCTATTATCAATGGGCATTTGGGTTGATTCCAGGTCTTTGCTATTGTAAACAGTGCTGCAAACTGACACAAGAACAGAAAATGAAACACCGCATATTCTCACTCATAGGTGGGTGATGAAAAATGAGAACACATGGACACAGAAAGGGGAGTACTAAACAGTGGGGTCTATTGGGGGGAAAAGGGGAGGGCCAGTGGGAGGGGGAGGTGGGGAGGGATAGCCTGGGGAGAAATGCCAAATGTGGGTGAAGGGGAGAAGAAAAGCAAAGCACACTGCCATGTGTGTACCTACGCAACTGTCTTGCATGCTCTGCTCATGTACCCCAAAACCTATAATCCAATAAAAAATTAAAAAAAAAAAATCAGAGAGATTGGGCCGGGCGCTTTGGCTCACGCCAGTAATCCCAGCACTTTGGGAGGCTGAGGTGGGTGGATCACCTGAGGTCAGGAGTTCAAGATCAATCTGGCCATATGGTGAAACCCTATTTTATTAAAAAAAATCAGACAGATCAGTGTCTACAAGTGTACAAACGAGGTGCTGGATGATTTACCCCCTTGCCCGGCCTTTTTTATGAGACAGAGTTTCCCTCTTGTCACCCAGGCTGGAGTGCAATGGTGCGATCTTTGCTCATTGCAACCTCTGCCTTCTTGGTTCAAGTGATTCTACTGCTTCAGTCTCCCATGTAGCTGGGATTACAGGTGTCCACCACCATGCCCAGCTAATTATTTTTACTTTAAATTTAAATTCATTTTTACAAAATAACAAAATAATATGGAACGTTTCATGAATTTGCATGTCATCCTTGCACAGGGGCCATGCTAATATTCTCTGTATTGTTCCAATTTTAGTGTATGTGCTGCGGAAGTGAGCACATGAAGAGCTAATTTTTTCATTTATTTTATTTTTATTTTTTCATAGTGGATGGGTTTCACTATGTTGGTCAGCCTAGTCTCGAACCTCTGACCTCATGATCTGCCCACCTCAGCCTTCGAAAGTGCTGGGACTACAGGTGTCAAGCCACCATGCTCAACTTAATTTTGTATTTTTTTTATTTTTTAAAGATGGGGTTTCACCATGTTGGTCAGGCTGTTCTTGAACTCACGTCTTCAGGTGATCCACCTGCCTTGGCCTCCAATGTGCTTGGATTAGAAGCCCGAACTACTATGCCTGGGCAATTTTTGTATTTTTACAAAATTTTTACACCTCAGGTGATCCACCTGCCACTGCCTCACAAAGTGCTGGGAATACAAGCGTGAGCCACTGTGCCTGGCAAATCTTCCTTTTTTCCAGAGACAATTTTCTTTTTCTTTTTCTTTTTTTTTTTTTTGAGGTGGAGTCTAGCTCTTTCACCCCAGCAGCAGTGCAGTGGCCCAATGGCTTAATCTTGGTTCACTGCCACCTCCACCTCCTGTATTCAAGCATTTCTCCTACTGTAGCCTCCCTGAGCAGATGTTACTACAGGCACACATCACCACACCTGGCTTATTTTTTTGTATTTTTAGTAGAGACAGGGTTTCACCATGTTGTCTAGGCTGGTCTCAAACTCCTGACCACAGGTGATCTGCCCGCCTCCACCTTCCAAATTGCTGGAATTACAGGTAGGAACCACTGCAACCAGCTGACAATTTACTTTTGCTTTGTAGTTGGAGTTAAAGTAGATTTTACCTTGATTCAATCAAGCATTGAGTTTATTCAATAATTTCAAATTTTGAGGCAGGACTCAGTAACTAATCCTGTGATCCCAGTATGTTGGGAGGCCGAGGTAAGTGGATCACTTGAGCCCAGAAGTTTGAGTCCAGTCTCAGCAACATAGCAAAACTCTGCTTCTACTAAAAGTACCAAAATTAGCTGTGCGGTGGCTCATGCCTGTAATTCCAGCTATCTGAGAGACTGAGGCATGAGAATTACTTGATCTCAGGAAATGGAAGCTGGAGTAAGCCGAGATTGCACCACTGCACTCCAGCCTGGGTGACAGAGCCAGACAAGACTCCACCTCAAAACAATAAAAATAGCTTGGTGTGGTGGCTTACACTTGTAATCCATCACTTTGGGAAGCCAAGGCCAACAGATTGCCTCAGGTCAGGCATTTGAGACCAGCCTGGCCAAAGCGGTGAAACCTCATCTCTGCCAAAAATACAAAAATTGGCCAGGCATGGTGACATGCACCTATAGTCCCAGCTACTCAGGAGGCTGACGCAGGAGAATTGCTTGAAGCTGGGAGGCAGAGGTTTCAGTGAGCCGATATTGCATCACTGCACTCCAACCTGGGCAACAGAGGCAGACTGTGTCTCAAAAAAAAATCTCTGTTCATGGTGGCTCACACCTGTAATCCTAGTACTTTGGGAGGCCAAGATGGGTGGATCACGAGGTCGGGAGTTCAAGACCAGCCTTGCCAAAATGGTGAAACCCCATCTCTTTTAAAAAAATAGCTTATACATATTTGTTCATTAATTCTGATAACTGTACCACACTAATATCTTACTAACAGGGGAAACTGGGTATGTAGTATATGGGAACTCTGTATTCTCAATTTTTTTTTTTTGAACAGAGTCTTGCTCTGTATCTCAGGGTGGAATGCAGTGGTGCAATCTCAGCTTACTGCATCCTCTGCTTCCTGGGTTCAGGTGATTCTCCTGACTCAGCCCTCTCAGTAACTGGGACTACAGGTGTCTGCCACAATGTCTGGCTAATTATTTTGTGTTTTTTAGTAGAGAGGGGGTTTTACTGTGTTGGCCAGGCTGGTCTCAAACTACAGACCTCAAGTGATCTGTCAGCCTCAGCCACTCAAAGTGCTGGGATTATAGACGAAAGCCTCCATGCCCAGCCCTGTAAACTTTTTAATCTAAAAACCTTCTAAAAATTAAGATTATGGCTGGGCACAGTTTGTCACACCTGTAATTTCAACACTTTGGGAGGCAGAGACAGGTGGATCATGAGGTCAAGAGATTGAGACCATCCTCGTCAACATGGTGAAACCCTGTCTCTACTAAAAATACAAAAAATTATCTGGGCATGGTGGCATGTGCCTGTAATCCCAGCTACTCAGGTGGCTGAGGCAGGAGAATTGCCTAACCCAGGAGGCGGAGGTTGCGGTGAGCTGAGATCGTGCCATTGCACTCCAGCCTGGGTAACAAGAGTGAAACTCTGTCTCAAAATAAATAAATTAAATAAATAAATAAATAAATAAATATTAAAATACAAAAATTAGGGGGATGGTGGTGTGCATCTGTAATCCCAGCTACTCAGGAGGCTGAGGCAAGAGAATCACTTGAACCTGGGTGGTGGAGGTTGCAGTGACCCGAGATTGGGCCATCACACTCCAGCTTGGGTGACAGAGCAAGACTCTGTCTCAAAAATAAGAAGCTTATATTGGTTTATTTTTTTTTTACAGAAATGAGCTTGCTCTGTCCCTCAGGCTGGAGTGCAGTGGTGCAATCATAGCTTACTGCAGCCTTCCACATCTAGGTGTTAAGCAATCCTCCCACCTCAGCTTCCTGAGTAGCTAGTACTACAGGTGCCCAGTACCACAGCCAGCTAAAGTTTTGTAGAAATGGGACCTTGTTCTGTCACCCTGGCTGGTTTCAAACTCCTAGCAATCTTCCTTTCTTAGTCTCCCAAAATGCTGGGATTACAAGATGAGCCATTGTGCCCAGTCTTAACTTTATTATTATTGCTTTTTTAAAGAATTTCTGAGACAGAGTTTTGTTTTTGTTTCCTAGGCTGTAGATTGGTGGCAGGATCTTGGCTCAGTGCAACCTCTGCCTCCCAGGTTCCAGTGATTCTCCTTTCTCAGCCTCCTGAGTAGCTGAGATTGCAGGTCCTTCCTACCACACTCAACTAATTTTTTGTATTTTTAGAAGAGACCGGGTTTCATCATGTTGGCCAGGCTGCTTTCGAACTGCAGACCTCAGGTTATCCACCCACCTCAGTCTCCTAAAGTGCAGGGATGATTACTGGCGTGAGCCACCACACTTCACCTTAACTTTATTTAATTTTTTTTTTTGAGATGGAGTTTTGCTGTTGTTACCCAGACTGGAGTGCAATGGCATGAGCTTGGCTCACCGCAACCTCTGCCTTCTGAGTTCAAGCAATTCTTCTGCCTCAGCCTCCTGAGTAGCTGGGACTACAGGCATGCACCACCATGCCCAGCTAATTTCTGTATTTTTAGTAGAGACGGGGTTTCACCTTGTTGACCAGGATGGTCTCGATTTCTTGACCTCGCGATCCACCCACTTTGGCCTCCCAAACTGCTGGGATTCTAGGCATGAGCCACCGTGCCCGGCCTTTTAATGTTTAATTTATTATTTTTTTTAAAGACGGGGTTTCACCATGTTGGTCAGACTGGTCTTAAACTCACAACCTCAGGTGTTCCCTATGGCTTGGTTTCCAAAGTGTTTGGATTACAGGCATGAGCCACCATGTCCGGCCAACTTTATTGTTAAAAATAAGGGAGATATGGCCGGGTGCTGCGGCTCATGCCAGTGATCCCAGCACTTTGGGAGGCCGAGGTGGGTGGATCACCTGAGGTCAGAAGTTCGAGATCAGCCTGGCCATTATGGTGAAACCCCATCTTATTAAAAAGAAAAATCAGTGTCTACAATTGTAAAAATGAGTTGCTGGATAATTTTCATTGCCCCACCTTTTTTATGAGATAAAATTTCCCTCTTGTCACCCAGTCTGGAGTGCAACAGTGCAAACTTGGCTCATTGCAACCTCTGCCTCCTTGGTTCAAGCGATTGTCCTGCCTCAGCCTGCCAAAGAGCTGGGATTACAGGTGTCCACCACCATGCCCAGCTAAATTTTTTTTTACTTTAAATTTAAATTTATTTTTGTTTGATTTTTACAAAACAACAAAAAAGTATGATCTGCCTGCTTTGGCTTCCAAAGTGCTTGGATTACAGGCATGAGCCACTATGCCCAGCCAATTTTTGTATTTTTATTAGAGACCAGGTTTCACCATGTTGGCTTGAACTCCTGACCTCAGGTGATCCACCTGTGGCTATGGGAGTAGCCATTCCCATATCAGATAATACAGACTTTAAACCAACAATAGTTTTTTTTTAATTTAAAAGTAAATAAAAAGAAAAAATAGAAGAGTAGGTAATGACAAAGAGTTCAATACAACAAGAAGTTTTAACTGTTCTAAATATATATGCACCCAACCCTGGAGCACCCAGATTCATAAAACAAATACCACAAGATCTATGGAAAAAGGCGGGTGGAACACCTGAGGTCAAGAGTCAGATCACCTGAGGTTGGGAGTTCAAGACCAGCCTGACCAACATGGTGAAACCCCATCTTTAAAAAATACAAAAAAATACAAAAATTAAGTTGGGCATGGTGGCTCACACACCTGTAATCCTAGCACTTTGAAGGGCTAAAGTGGGCAGATCATGAGGTCAGAGGTTTGAGACTAGTGTGACCAACATGGTGATATGCATATTTGGATATGCATTTACATTGTGGAATGATTAAATCGAGATAACTAATATATCCATTATGTCAGATACTTATTTTGTGGTGAGAACACGTAAAAACTAGTCTTTTAGCAATTTTAAGTATACACTGTATTATTAACTATAGTTGCCATGCTGTGCAGTAGATCTCTAGAAGTTCTTTCTCTTGTTGAACTGAAACTTTGCACCCTTTGAACATCTCCCTATTTCTCATTCCTGAGTAACGAGTCTTCTGGTAACCATCATTCTACTCCTTTTTTTGATTCCATATCTAAGTGAGAACGTGCGGTGTTTTCATTCCTGTGCCTGGCTTATTTCACTTAGATGATGTCCTCCAGGTGCATCCAGTGTTGTCACAAATAACAGAAAAATGTCTTTTCTTTTTTATGACTAAATAATATTACATTGTGCTACCCCATTTTCTTTGTATTTATCCCTTGTTGAATGCTGAGGTTGCTTCTATATCTTGCCTTTTATGAATAATGCTGTAATAAAACATGGGAGTGGAGATACATTTCAACATACTGATTTAATTTCCTTTGGATAAATGCCCAGTAGTGGCATTGCTGGATCATATTGTAGTTCTATTTTTAATTTTTTTAGTAACTTCCAGACTATTTTCCATAAAGGCATAATTTACATTCCTAACAACAGTGTTCTTTTTTCTTCACATCCTCACCAACAATTAGCTTGGATCTTATTGATAGCCATTTAACAAGTGTGAAGTGATACCTCATTGTAGTTTTAATTTGTATTTCCCTGAAGACTACTGATTTTGAGCATCTTTTCAGGTATCTTTTGGCCATTTGTTGTCTTTTGAGAACTATCTATTCATATCCTTTGTCCTCTCACTCTGCCCCTCAGGCTAGAGAGCAGTGGCACAATCTTGGCTCACTGCAACCTCAGCCTCCTGGGTTCAAGTGATTCTCCTGCCTCAACCTCCTGAGTAGCTGGGATTACAGGCATGTGCCACCATGACCAGCTCATTTTTGTATTTTCAGTAGAGATGAGGTTTCACCATGTTGGCCAGGCTCATCTCAAACTCCTGACTGCAGGTGATCCAACTGCCTCAGCCTCCCAAAGGGCAGGGATTACAGACATTAGTGACCATGCCTGGCCTTTTGTCCATTTTTTAATAAGGCTGTTGATCCTTGCTAAGTTGAATTTCTTTTATATTTTGGATATTTGCCCCTTATCAGATGTATAGTTTGCAGATATTTTCTCTCAATCTGTGAGCTGTCTCTTCTCTGTTGATTGTTTCCTTGGCTGTGCAGAAGCTTTTTAGTTTGATATAGTCCCATTTGTCTATTTTTGCTTTTGTTGCCTGTATTTAGTAGTTTTATACTTTTAGGTCTTACGTGTAAGTCTTGAAACTCCTACTTATCAAAAGCATCTGAATTAATATTTTACCAGGCCAAACTTGGTAGCTCAAACCTGTAATCCCAGCACTTTGGGAGGCCGAGGCAGGTGAATCACGAGGTCAAGAGATTGAGACCATCCTGGTCTACATGGTGAAACCCCGTCTCTACCAAAAATACAAAAAATTATCTGGGCATGGTGGCATGTGCCTGTAATCCCAGCTACTCAGGAGGCTGAGGCAGGAGAATTGCCTCAACCCAGGAGGCAGAGGTTGCAGTGAGCCAAGATCACGCCATTGCACTCCAGCCTGGGTAACAAGAGTAAAATTCCGTCTCAAAAAAAAAAAAAATTTACCATACATTTCTTTGCATTGACTCACACAATTTTGCTGATTATTGCATTCCTCTAGAATCCTATAGGTGGCATTAGAATGAAACAGAAGAGTTGGATTAGGGGATGTTGTATAAAACATGCATGATTTCTAATGATATATACGCATCCTTTTTTTCTCCTAAGGAAGCAAATGTCACCTGGATAGTGATTGGACAGTCATCTTACCATCATATTGAAGTAAATATCTAGTACATTGGGAGACTAATTAATAAAGTCTGTTTCAGACATAAAAATCGCATTATTTAAACCACTAAATGTAGGCTAAATTGGCTGAAGTTAAATTGTCATTACTTTTCTCTCATTTGTTGTTGTAAAAATTCCAACTATTCTCTCTTTTCAGTCTTTTTGCAAAGTGACTGGATATTCTCATAAAATCTATGTCGATCCTGAGAGAGAAATTTATAAAAAATCAGGAATGAAAAGAGGTGAAGAAATTGCCTCCTCAGGTAAGACATAACATGTCTCAAATAGAAAACACTGATGGTGTATTTTTATATTTGGTTGTGTATGTATGCATAGGGAAACATGGTCAGTTCATAAATTGGATGGTTTTTTTTGAGACAGAGTTTTACTCTGTCACCAGGGCTGGAGTACAGTGGTGTGATGTCAGCTCACTCCAACCTCTGCCTCCCAGATTCAAGTGATTCTCCTGCCTTGGCCTCCTGAGTAGCTGGGATTACAGGCGCCTGCCACTATGCCTGGCCAATTTTTTTTTATTTCTAGGAGAGACAGGGTTTTACCATGCTGGCCAGGCTGGTCTTGAACTCCTGACCTCATGATTCACCCACCTCGGCCTCCCAAAGTGCTGGGATTACAGGCATGAGCCACTGTGCCCAGCCTTTGCCTGTTTTTATTACTCTAATAAGTGTTACACCAGGCTCCAAAAGATTCATTTTCTGGGTGTAATGACATAGAAGGCTTTTAATAAAGCACTATTGAATGAAAATAAGTTGCAGAAGTATTCATTATGGTTCCATTTTTGTGAAAACAAAAATGATTTGCATAAAGGTCATGTGTGTGTGTGTGTGTGTGTGTGTGTGTGTAATAAAATAGGTTTTAAAAGATATGGTAGTGTTTACCCCAAGGAGGGGAGTGAGAAAATTGGCTTTTGTATTTTTTACAAGTACATTTTATTTTTGTAATTAAACAGATAGTAATATTAAGTTCACATATTTTTAGACCTCAGTACCATTGTGTTAAATACTCCATCTCCTTTAATTGAGAAAATCCCACTTACTATTTGAAATCACCCAACTCACAGGGGCTCTGAGTCACTCTTCACTCAGAAGAGTGACTTCCCTCTGCATTCCTGTATACTCTAGTATTGCACTTAAGGGGGCCAGATAGTCTAGTTAGTTGAAGAGTTTCATGTTTATTATCTATGTTCTCTGTATGTTTCTGTGTTCTCTACCCTTGCCACAATTTTTTGTGATTATGAGAACTTAGAAAACTTTATCTGCAGGCTGGGTCCAGTGGCTCATGCCTATAATTCCAGCACTTTGGGAGACCAATGGAAGATCACAAAATCAGAAGATCAAGACCATTCTGGCTAACATTGTGAAACCCCATCTCTATTAAAAATACAAAAAACAATGGCCGGGTATGATGGCACATACCTGTAACCCAGCTACTCTAGAGGCTGATGCAGGAGAATCATTTGAACCCAGAAAGCAGAGGTTGCAGTGAGCTGAGATCCACCACTGCTCTCCAGCCTGGGGATAGAGTGAGACACCATGTCAAAATCAAAAAAAAAAAAGAAAGAAAGAAAGAAAGAAAGAAGAAATTTTAGTTTCCTTGCTTATGTGTGTTTCTAAAATGCCAGATAAGAGAACTCAACTCAAACAGAAATCCATCATTTTGAATAAATATTATCACCCTCTTGTCTGTGACACCCAGTTTTTAATGCTCCCAGGAGGACAGTGATAAAATACATACTCCCCACCATGCAGACTTATCATGTACTCCAGGAGACAGAAACAAGCAGCTATGACAATACCATCCAAGGGCCAATGATGGAGGAAAGCATTCTTGACTAGAAATACCTTTCTCAGCAGTTCGAGTGCAGAAGGACCTGGGAGGGCTTCTGAGAGGAGATGAAATCTCAGCTCACTCTGAAAGGAGTTAGCTGGGTGAATTAGGGTGCAAAAGAGCACTCTACACAGAAAGTAGCATGTGCAAAAGCACAAAGGTATGAGAAAACATGACTGTTGTAGAAAAGTACAGGTCTCTACCTCTGGTCAGAGTGTAGGAGCCAGCTGGGGAATTGGTGTGAGCCGAGGGATAAGTTATGGCCAAGTTCATATCAAACCTCGGTAATGTGCCAAGGAGTTTGGATTTATTCTGAAGCAATCAGGGAATTACATAAACGTTTGAAGCAGAGAAATGAGACAATCATATAACCCATGTGGAGCAGGGATTGGAGCTGACCAAACCATAGCCAGTGATATTCATGACACGGTTGTAGGGCAGGCGTAAGCTAGGAAGAAATGGCAAGGCCTCAAGAGGGGATAGAGAGGAGGAGCTATGTGTGAGGCAGAGTTGCCATGATTCCTTTATTGATGTTTTTAAAGAAAAAGACTGAAACTTAATCAGAAGAAATGATGAGCTAGCATAAACACAGAGTCTACTTGTTTCTCTCTCTTTAGTATAGAAAATCATAGCAGTACAGATTGTGAACCTTACTTTTTGATACCCAGTTTTCATGGGCTGTAACAGTCTCAGCATGTGTAAGGTCTGTTTAATTACTCAGCACTTTAGGGCCAGGCACAGTAGCTCACGCCTGTAATACCAGCACTTTGGGATGCTGAGGTGGGCAGATCACCTCAGGTTGGGAGTTCATGACCAGCCTGACCAATAGTAGAAACCCCATTTCTACTAAAAGTACAAAGTTAGCAAGGCTTGGTGGCATATGCCTGTGATCCCAGCTGCTCAGGAGACTGAGGCAGAAGAATCACTTGAACCTGGGAGGTGGAAATTGCAGTGAGCTGATATCGCACCTTTGCACTCCAGCCTGGGCAACAAGAGCAAAACTCTGTCTCAAAAAGAATACAAATTATTTACCACTTTAGATATAAACTGTGCATTTCACTTTAGTAACACCTTACCATTAGCAATGAAAGATATGGAATTGCAAAGTAAACAGATGAATTCTAAGCTGAATATATGCTTGTAATTATGAGAGAGGGTGTGTTCAAATCTTCACTAATTCAGCCTGTTAAAGGACTGCATTGCCAAACAAAATATTAGGTTCTCATAAAATAATTTTTTAAAGGTTTCTCCCTAAAAAATATAAAGCATCAATCTCAAAATTAGTCTCAGAATAGTCTTACTTGAAATCTAAGGGACTAAAAATTTATAATTATAATTTAAAATTAATGACACCTTTTGTATAAAGATGAAGAATAAGAAAGTGAAACCATTGCAGACAAGGAAATACTGGGTTTGTAGAAGACTGAAAAACAGAAGTTTTACACATAAGAATTAAATTCAAACTGGCAAAACTATATTGTGATTACTAATCTAGATAGTAAGGATACTTAGTTTGCAGCAATCTTAGAAGATTACTTAGAAGTCATCTTACTCAACAAAGATTACTTAGTTTCAGGTTACAGAATCTCCTTAAGTTGAATTTCTAAACTTTCTGAAATATTAGCTCACCCCTTCTTTGGACATAAGAAGAGAGTTTAGGCTGAGTGTGGTGGATCACTCCTGTATTCCTAGCACTTTGGGAGGCTGAGGCAGGACTACTTCTTGATAGTAGGAATTTGAGACCAGCCCAGGCAACGTGGTGAAACCTTGTCTCCACAAAAAAAAAAAAAAAAAAAAAAATACAAAAATTAGCTGGGCATGGTGTGTGCCTATACTCTCTGCTATGTGGGATACTGAGGCTGGAGAATTGATTGATTGGAACCTGGGAGATTGAGGCTGCAGTAAGCCGTGATCATGCCACTGCACTCCAGCCTGGGTGACATAGTGAGACCCTGTCTCAAAAACATTTTTAATTTTAAAAAGGAGAGAGTTTGGATTTCTGAGAAAACTTTTATATCAGATATAGAATCCTATTAGATATTAAAATTTAGCCTGGCATAGTGGCTCACACCTGTAATCCCAGGACTTTGGGAGGCCAAGGTGGGTGGATCACAAGGTCAGGAGTTCAAGACTAGCCTGGCCAATATGGTGAAACCCTGTCTTCACTAATAATACAAAAAATTAACTGGGTGTGGTGGTGGGCACCTGTAGTCCAAGCTACTTGGGAGTCTGAGGCAGGAGAATCACTTGAACCCAGTGGAGGTTGCAGTGAGCCAAGATGGCACTATGGCACTCTAGCCTGTGTGACAGTGAGACTCCTGACTCAAAAAATAATTAGTAAAAGTCAGGGTCAGGCACAGTAGCTCACACCTGTAATCCCAGCACTTAGGGAGGCAGATGTGGGAGGATCGCTTGAAGCCAGGAATTTGAGACCAACCTGGGCAACAAAGTAAGACCTCATCTCTACAAAAAATTTTTGAAAGTTAGCCAGGAGTGGTGGCATGAGCTAGTGGTCCAAGCTACTCAGGAAGCTGAAGGGGGAGGATTGCTTGAGCCCAGGAGTTTGAGGCTGCAGTGAGTTAGGATTGTGCCACTGTACACTAGCCTGTGAAATAGAGCATGACTCTGTCTCTTAAAAATAAAGTAAATCTTACTCTTTTACTCAAGTGTCTTTGCTAGTGAGCCTGTATTTGTTTCTTGGTAAGATAAATGCCCCTTATAATGTAAACATGAAAGAAATCAAAGCATTGAAGAGATGAAGGGAAACAATAGGTATCTGGAAATATTGGGAAATGAGGCAGGCCAAAGGCTGCATAGTCATTAAAATAAAAAGCAGGCCAGGCGCGGTGGCTCATGCCTATAATCCCAGAACTTTGGGAGGCTGAAGTGGGTGGATCACAAGGTCAAGAGATCGAGACCATCCTGGTCAACAAGGTGAAACCCTGTCTCTACTAAAAATACAAAAATTAGCTGGGCATGGTGGTGTGTGCCTGTAGTCCCAGCTATTTGGGAGGCTGAGGCAGGAGAATTGCTTGAACCCAGGAGGTGGAGCTTGCAGTGAGCTCAGATAGTGCCATTGCACTCCAGTCTGGGTAACAACAGTGAAACTCCATCTCAAAAAATAAATAATTAATTAATTTAAAAATTTTAAAAATTAAAAAATAAAATAAAAAGCAAAAAGTAAGACAAAATGGCAGGGATAGGAGAAAAAATCATTACAATGAGAGTAAAGAGACTGAGTTTCTTTGCTCAAACAAAGTGGAAATGAAGTATCAGTCACTGTGAGAACAGAAATAGAAAACTGACAGCCAAGGAAAAGTGAAGAGGTGCTACAGTAGTTGTTGTTACAGCTAAAACCCCCATGTCTCAGCAGAATGACATAGTAGGAGGTTATTTCTTTTTATCTTAAATTTCAAGAATGGCTTATCTATTTGGTTGCCTTTCCTCTTGAACAGCCATTCCAGGATCCAGGTGCTCTGCCATCTTCATCCCAAGCCTTCCAAAAATGTAGAAGAACATGAGAATCACTTATGGGAGGGGGTTGGCCTGCAATCAGCACAGATTATTTTATTCATTGTTTATAACACAGTCATATGCCTTGCTTAACTGCAATGAAGACTGGAAGATATACTTTAGCTGTGGGTCCAGACAGAGGAAACAGGTTTTGACCAACATGTAACAGTCTGTATCACAATGGCTCTTGAAAAGGCTTGTAGCTGCCTATTAATAAGTGAGAGACTAAACAGATTATAAACGGAGAACTAAAATGGAAAACACTGCTAATTTGAGAAGACTGTAGCTGACATTTTTCTGTGATGGAAAGTGATCTGGTTCCATCATCACTTTTTCCTTTAAAGCAGTAGTTCTTAACTGGGACATTTACTCCTCTCTCCTCTGAGAGACATTTGGCATTGTCTGAAGACATTCTTGATTGTTTACAACTTGGTAAATGGTGCTTCTGATATTTAGTGGGTATAGAAGGTGGTGATGTTGCAGAACACCCTATATCACACAGGACAAAGAATGATCTGAGCCAAATGTCAATAGTAAATGGTTGAGAAACCATTATTTGAAGGAAGCAAGGAGTGTTTTCTAGAAATATATTATCTTCTTAATATTGAATTGAATATAAAATTACATCTAAAGACAATTTTCAACATTTCAGGACAGATCCCCCACGTAAAGTCAAATCTATTCTCAGGAAGCCTTCAGAGCCTATGGTGGGCAGTGACCAGCCCTCTCTTTGATTTTCAAGGAGACCCAGCTCAGCAAGGTGGAACCCTCATTTTTAAGTCCAGGTGAGCATCAAAGCCCCAGGTTCAGCAGTAGGCATCTTGTGCCTTTTACAAGTTCAGAGGCCAGCACTTTCTTCATAAAGCAGACACCATGTACAAATAGACATATCGACGTTATAGTCTGGAGTGCTTTTGTAGGAGGGAATGTTTTGTTTTCAAAGGCGGTCTGTGTATTTTGATGTTTATGCATTTGATGAGTGTGCCCATCATTCCATGCCTGGATAATTTCCCACAGTCACCTGTGGGTTGGTGATCTGTATATGGCTGTGACACTCCCCTATTTAAAAATGTTTGGTGGAAACGAACATTTCCTAATAGGGGGAAATTGTCACACACTTTTTTTGTCAACAAAAGAATCCCTGTAGTTATTTATACCTAACAGAACTAGGAGACTTACTCAATGTCAGCAAGCAAATCAATGCTGGGGACAGCTTATCCCATAAAATTGGGATTGTGCTGGGCATGGTGGCTCTTGCCTATAATCCCAGCCCTTTGGGAGGCTGAGGAAGGTGGATCACCTGAGGTTGAAAGCTCAAGACCAGTCTGACCAACATGGAGAAACCCCGTCTCTACTAAAAATACAAAATTAGCCAGGCGTGGTAGTGCATGCCTATAATCCCAGCTACTGAGGCAGGAAAATCACTTGAACCTAGGAGGCAGAGGTTGCAGTGAGCTGACATTGTGCCATTGCACCCTAGCCTGGGCAACAGGAGCCAAACTTCACCTCAGAAAAATAAATGGAATTGAGCTCGGGCATGGTGGCTCACACCTGTAATCCCAGCACTTTGGGAAGCTGAGCCAGGTGGATCACTTGAGGCCAGCAGTTCGATACCAGCCTGGTCAACATGGTGAAACCTGTCTCTGCTAAAAACACAAGAAATTAACCGGGTGTGGTGGCACATGCTTGCAATGCCAGCTACTTGGGAGGTTAAGTCAGGAGAATCACTTGAACGTGAGAGGCGGAGGTTGCAGTGAGCTGAGATCATGCCACTGCACTCCAGCCTGTGTGACAAGAAGGAAATTCCATATTAGAAAAAAAAAGAATGGGCTTGAGCTCCAACTATAAGTCACACACCATTAACAGCTTTATTGATGGGTCTGGACTGCCTGAGATGGCTTTGACTCATGTCTGCTAAGTGTTGAGTGTTCGATCTCTACTGTGTTCCAGCATTGCAGCAAAGTACAAACACCCATGTCAGACAGGGCCAAAAAGCCTAAATCACTGTGTTATGTCATCTTTTTGCTTTTTCTTCCTCTTTAAAACTGTCTTAATAAGCATAGTTATAAAATTAATATTTACTTTCATAAATATCATATTTTTTAAATGAGGATTTTGACTGAGTAATAGGACTTTTGGGCTTTTTGCAGCTGGAATATTATAGCCAAAATCTCCCTTTCCCTCTCTTTTATGAATTTACACCAGTTAGATTAGTTATAAAAGAGGCCTTGATAAATGAGATTGAGTCCTATGCATTAGCCCAGAATGACATTAGCCGTATTTCTGGATGATTTATTTCCATCCTCAGACCCAAAAGGGGATGTTCTGAGTTCATTATCTTCATGTCTCAGAATCATTTGTCCACACCTTCTGTTGTGCAAGAATAAAGGGAATATGGAGAGCAACATGTATGTGCCAACCTGGGACCATACAGTCATCTCTTGGCATCTATGGGGAATTGGCTCCAGGACCTGAAGTGGATACTAGAATCTGAGATGCTCAACTGTCTTACATAAATGCTGTAGTATTTGCATATAAGCTATGCATGTCCTCCCTGGCATTTTAAATCATCTCTACTTTACTTATAATACCAAATACAATGTAAATAGTTGTTGTACTATATTGTATAGGGAATAATGACAAAGAAAAAAGTCTGTACATGTTCAGTACACATAAGCTATCCTTTTTTTCCTGAATGTTTTCAATCTGTGGTTTGTTGAATGAGGATGTGGTATCCATGGATGCAGAGGAGCAACTGTGCTTAGAAAACATGCCTCATGTGAAACTTACTTAAGCTGATGGTTTAAGTTAAAATTCTGGTCTGTAGTCGAAGACTCAAACAAACTAGATTGTAAATTTATGATTATAAATTATAAAATCTTTATTTGAACAGATATAAGAATTATGGACATCTAAGTGTATTGTAACTGATTGTCTTTTAAGGCCTCTTTTGGGCTGTGATTATAATCCAGGTAGCCTGTTAAATAAATATTTTGGAGTGAATTTTTTGAAGTGAGTGATTTGTTTCCTTATATTTATTCTATTATTAGATTTAAGAAACAGATGTGATTTTCCAGCTTGATATCTATGTGAGTTCCGTGTTCTGCCTGTCTGACAGGACATTTTATTTATTTATATTTAATAAAACCTAACAGAAAGTTATAATTTAAAAACCTTTCCCCTTGGATCTCATAAAACATTAAGTATCACTCTTATTTAACCATAATCCTTGTCATACTTTATTACCATAATTAAAAATTATTATGCCATTATATAGAGAATATAATGTACTCCAGGTAATTAATTTTTTCCTTTGGACTAATTAAAGGTTGAAAAGCTTCCTTGATTTTACTAAGTAGTAAATCTAATGAGTAATACTTATTATGCCTCAGCGTTTTATTCTTATTCTCTTCTAGGTAACAGTATCCATTTTATACACTGCAATAGGAATAGATTGGATCACAAACCTATCAACTCTGTTTTACAGCTTGTAGGAGTTCAGCATGTGAACTTTACAAACAGGCCTTCAGTCATCCATGTGTGATTTAAAATGGAATCAGTCAGTTTCAGCTGGACCTTTTGGAATGTGACCTTCAATGCTTGAGTGTAATATCCTTATGCAGTGTCTAACCTGCTTTCCCTTCCCAGCCTTTGAGGACTTAGGGAAGCATAATGAGGCCCTGAACTAGTGAAGTGCATGATCAAGAAGAATCAGTTGTGAAAAATGTGATACATACTTCCATTCTGTATAAAATTTTACACAAAATAACAAAAATGAGTCTGGGCATGGTGGCTCATGCCTATAATCCCAGCACTTTGGGAGGCTGAGGCGGATGAGATCAAGAGATCAAGACCATCCTGGTCAACAAGGTGAAACCACGTCTTTACTAAAAATACAAAAATTAGCTGGGCATGGTGGTGCATGCCTGTAGTCCCAGCTACTCGGGAGGCTGAGGCAGGAGAATTGCTTGAACCCAGAAGGCGGAGGTTGCAGTGAGCCAAGATCATACCATTGCACTCCAGTCTGGGTAACAAGAGCGAAACTTTGTCTCAAAAAGAAAAAATAAATAAATATACAAAATACAACCTTAAAAGCTATAAAATCATAAGTACCATTTAAATTATTTTACATTATGTATATTCAGTCAATGAAAGATTTATTTGGCAATTAATATAACTTCTAATGAAGAATATATAAAGGGAAGGAAGAGCAACACAAGACCATTATAACAGGGAAGAAAGCAAAATATCAGATTCTGTCAACAATATAACTGCATTTTTATATGTATACATTTGTATTTTTGTATGCTTAGGAAAAAGACAAGAAACGAACACCAAAATGTTGCCAGGAGGTATCTCTGTGTTAAGATTACAGTGTTATTATTTTCTTTTCTGTATTTTTCTCTATTTCCCAACTATTCTATAATGAGCATGATTAATATTGTAGGGCCAGGAAAAGATCTTTAGACATTATATAACAAGTTTATACCTACATAACAACCTTCACGACAGTGCAAATTATATAGACTCTAGTCCATGTTTCTATCCTAATTGCTTTACTCAGAAGAAGTGTGGCAATCCGAACATCTCACATATAGCCACTGTCCATAGCACCTTCTCATTACACACTTGCTATCCCTTTCACTAGGAATTTTGTGGATTGGGGGAGGTATTGAGAAAAAAAGTTGTTCTAGATTTTTAAGATATGTATTTAAAATATAGTCAATGTGCTTTTTGAAAGGGAATTATAATAATTTTTTTCTTTTTTTTTTTTGAGATCTATTCTTGCCCTGTCACCCAGGCTGGAGTGCAATGGCACGATCTCAGCTCACTGCAACTTTCACCTCCTAGGTTCAAGCAGATTTTCTGCGTCAGCCTTCCAAGTAGCTGGGCTTACAAGCGTCCACCACCACACCAGCTACTTCTTGCATTTTTAGTAGAGATGGGGTTTCGCCATGTTGGCTGGGTCTGGTCTCGAACTCCTGACCTCATTGTGATCTTCCCACCACGGCTTCCCAAAGTGCTAAAATTACAGATGTGAGCCACCGTGCCTGTCCAAGAATTGTTTAAAGTTTTAGGCCAGGCGCAGTGGCTCACACCTATAATCCCAGCACTTTGGGAGGCCAAGACTGGTGAATCACGAGGTCAAGAGATCGAGACCATCCTGGTCAACATGGTGAAACCCCGTCTCTACTAAAAATACAAAAAATTAGCTGGGCACAGTGGCACGTGCCTGTAATCCCAACTGCTCAGGAGGCTGAGGCAGGAGAGTTGCTGGAACCCAGGAGGCAGAGGTTGCCATGAGCCGACATCATACCACTGCACTCCAGCCTGGGCAACAGAGTGAGACCCCATCTCAAAAAAAAAAGAAAGAAAGAAAAAGAAAAGTAGGGGCCGGGTGCAGTGGCTCATGCCTGTAATCCCAGCACTTTGGGAGGCCGAGGTGGGTGGATCACGAGGTCAGGTGATCGAGACCATCCTGGTCAATGAGGTTAAACCCCGTCTCTACTAAAAATACAAAAATTAGCTGGGCCTGGTGGTGCGTGCCTGTAGTCCCAGCTACTCGAGAAGCTGAAGCAGGAGAATTGCTTGAACTCAGGAGGTGGAGGTTGCGGTGAGCCGAGATCGGGCCATTGCACTCCAGTCTGGGTAACAACAGTGAAACTCTGTCTCAAAAAAAATAAAATGAAAAATAAAATAAAGTTATAAAAACTTTGTAACTTAAATGTGTCCTGTGGTTTAGTTGTGCATTCTGAGAGAATTGCTATTTCTTACCCCCAAATTGCTCTTACTTGGAAGACTGTTGTCATCTTTTATTTTTATAGAATCTTAATATGTTTAGTTGGGAAGTGTCCCAGAAATCCTGAATAAAAGTAGAGCAAAATCAGAATTTTGGTAATTATTACTGAGCATAATATTGCTTTGAACTCAATACTTTTATATAAAGCATATAAAGTTGCAAAGAAATTTAACATATTCAAATATTTGAATACATTTTAATGTTTGTATAATCATGTTTTTATTCAATAAAAATGAAATTTCTCATTTAAATTTAAACTGTTTTGTGCTTTTTTTTAATAGTAAAGGAAGACTGGTGGCCCACCTTTGCTGATTTTAGACTTAAAACTGCTGCCTCACAAGCTTACACAAAAATTGCTGAGGGAGTGGGAATGGATTGCTTAAGGAGAGGGAGTTTTGCTCTTTCCAGGTGGGCCAGTTTCCTGGGCTCTCTGTGTTGCCTCCTTCTGGCTTCTTTCTTCCTTGCCCTCTCCCTGTGTGCCCCAGGAGGATCAGGGATCCTCACCCTCCTGAGGCCCAGTGGGGAAGAATGAACATGGCTGCTTCCAGGTTAACTGAAGCTGCCATTTGCCCAGCCTCTTCCATCCCAGCCCTGTCAGTGAGCCCAGGTCTGATGCAACTGTTGCAGGATTTCTGTAGTAGAGAACTCTGGAAGTATACTGGGCTGAAGTGGGATTTTCCCTCCCCACAGTACACTGAGCAATGGAGGGTGGTGAGGGGTGAGGCAGCCATGCTGCTGAATTCTGGTTGGCATTTCCCCCTTGTGTAAAATAGGGTGTTGGGGTAGGGCAGACTCTGCTTGGGTTTGCTTGTAAGATAAAGCTGGAGGAGAAGCACAGTTGTCCCATTGGATTATTTGAGCAAAAACTACCGTAAATAACTTCTTTGTCTTTTGTCAAATAAAATTGTTTTTGTTTTTGTTTTTAAGCAAAATAATAATAATAATAATAATAATAATTCTTGATGTGTATGCTCCTGACAACAGAGTAAAACCTGATAGAACTGCAAAGAGAAATAAATGAATCCACTGTTAGGTGGAGACCTCAATTCCCCTCTATCAGAAATGGACAGGTTCAGCAGGCAGAAAATCACTAAGCACGTAGTTGAACTCAACAGCACCATTACTAAGCTGGATATAATTGACATTTCCAGATTACTTCATCCAGCAGCAGAATAGCACACATTCTTCTCAAGCTCACATTCAACATTCACTAAGATAGACTGCATTCTGAACCCTAAAACACACCATAACAAACTGTAAAATAATAGAACTCATGCCATGCCTGCTCCCAGACAGCAATGGAATTATACTGAAAAACAACAACTGGAAAAATCCCCAAATACTTGGAGATTAAAAACCTACTTCTGTGGCCAGGCACAGTGGCTCATGCCTGTAATCCCAGCACTTTAGAAGGCCAAGATGGATGGATCACCTGAGATTGGGAGTTCAAGACCAGCCTGACCAACATGGAGAAACCCTGTCTACTAAAAATACAAAATTAGCCAGATATTGTGACATGAGCTTGTAATCTCAGCTACTCAAGAGGCTGAGGCAGGAGAATTGCTTGAACTCGAGAGGCAGAGTTTGCGGTGAGCCAAGATCATGCCATTGTACTCCAGCCTAGGCAACAAGAGCAAAATTCCATCTAAAAAAAAAGCTTCTAAATAACACATGGGTCAAAGAAAAAAAAATCTCAACAGGGTGTGGCATCTCACACCTGTAATCCCAGCACTTTGGAAGCCTGAGGTGGGCAGATCACTTGAAGCAAGGAGTTTGAGACCGGCCTGGCCAACATGGCAAAACCCCATCTCTACTAAGAATACAAAAATTAACTGGGCTTGGTGGCACACACCTGTAATCCCAGCTGCTTGGGAGACTGAGGCAAGAGAGTGGGCTTGAACTAGGGAGGCAGAGGTTGCAGTGAGCTGAGATCATGCCACTGCACTACAGCCTAGGTGACAGAACAAGACTGTCACAGGAAAAACAGAGAGAATGAAGACCTTTATGATGTTCCACTTCTGCTTAATGAGAAGTAAATATATTTTCTGTTCTTCGTGATTTTCATAATAGCATTTTCTTTTCTCCAGCTTACTTTATTGTAACAATACAAATATATAATAAATATAGCATATAAAATATGCTATTGAATAGTTTATATTATTGGTAAGGCTTCTGGTCAAAAGTAGACTATTAGTAGTTAAGTTTTGGGGAGGTCAAAAGTTATATGCACATTTTTGACTGTGTAAGGGATTGGCACCCCTACCCCCAACATTGTTTAAGGATCAACTGTATTTATAAATGTGCAACACATTTTTCTAAGATAAATACCTGTTTATGATGTGGCTTCAGGAAGGTACACGTACAAAAGTGTAGTGTACTGACAAATTGCCAACCCCAATTTTTTAAACATAAAATTACCTATAGGCCAGGTGCAATGGCTCACGCCTGTAATCCCAGCACTTCGGGAGGCTGAGGCGGGCAGATCACCTGAGGTCAGGAGTTCAAGACCAGCTGGCCAACATTGTGAAACCCCATCTCTACTAAAAATAAAAAATTAGCTGAGTGTGGTGCTGCCTGCCTGTAATCTCAGCTACTTAGGAGGCTGAAGCAGGAGAATTGCTTGAACCCAGGAGGCAGAGGTGGCAGCGAGTCAAGATTGTGTCATTGCACTCCAGCCTGGGTGACAGAGCAAGACTTTGTCTAAAAAAAAGAAATTGCCGGGCACAGTGGCTCACGCCTGTAATCCCAGCACTTTGGGAGGCCGAGGCAGGTGAATCACGAGGTCAAGAGATCAAGACCACCCTGGTCAACATGGTGAAACCCGATCTCTACTAAAAATACAAAAAATTAGCTGGGCATGGTGGTGCGTGCCTGTAATCCCAGCTACTCAGGAGGCTGAGGCAGAAGAATTCCCTGAACCCAGGAGGCGGAGGTTGCGGTAAGTCGAGATGGCACCATTGCACTCCAGCCTGGGTAACAAGAGTGAAACTCCGTCTCAAAAAAAAAAAAAGTTACCTGTAACATGTACTATTAACTTTATAAACATATCTCCACATCCAGTTATATACTGGACTTGAAATTCTGAAAAGCCTCTCTCATAAAAACCTGGAAACATTGGATAAAAATAAATAATATCATCACACATGTTATGGTGGTAATGATTTATTAGGTACTATTCCAAGGGCTTTATGTTCATTTAACTCTATGGAACTGATATTGTTATC